GAGAATTCAACCGATTAAAATTTTTTTTCCAGTTTTGTACTCCATAAATAGCGGTTATTTATTATTTGAAAAAAAAATTTAGGGGGTTAGTGGCACTTTAACATGATAACTGAAGCAGTCGGAATTTTACAGAATCCACCAAGATCCAGTCAGGATATAATGGCAGATTGCATTTATTTTCCGCACAGGGGGGGGGGAGGGGGTTGAGGACAACGGAAAAGCCAGGGGAGGGGTGTAAAAAAGGCCTTGGAAGATCCAGGGGAAGGGGTGAAAAAGAAGAAATACTGGGGGTGAGGTGATTAGAGACCAAAATCCAGGGGATGGTCTGCGATTAAAGCCATTTTCCAGGGGTATCTGGCACTGAATTCCTAAGGAATTCCAGGGAGGGGATATATAAATTGAATTCCAGGGAGGGGATATATAAACTGAATTCCAGGGAGGGGATATATAAACTGAATTCCAGGGAGGGATTATATAAACTGAATTCCAGGGGGTTACAATTTAGCTGGTAAAAATATGTCCTCAACCCCCCTACCCACCCACCCCCATCCGTGCGGAAAATAAATGCAATCTGCCAATGCCAACAAGTAAAAGCTTCTCCTTCGACTGTTGTTGTTTTTTGCACCCCCGCAAATTATATATATTTTAATTTAATAGTTTCATATTTGATTATTCTTACTACTAGATTTGTAAAATTACCAATATTATGGTCTCAGATCTCGCCATGCAGGCCTAGAAAACAAATTTTGTTAAACTTTTTCCTTGGCCTTTCCGGGCGTTGCCACCAGGCCCCGGCCAAAGCAAGCAGCAGCACCACCCCACCCCCCAGATATAATCCCTCCCCAAACAAAAATATGAAAATCTGTCTCTGAAATACTTCTGCCACTTCATCAGAACCAAGTTCAAGTCAAGGTATACTATACCAGCAGCGGCCAAAATTTATCAGAGATTACGAAGTTGTTTCTGTACTCTCAGGCACAGAAAGGTAGCACAAACCGTTTCAAGTACGCACCATATCCCAAGTTCAAGCCCAAAGAGTCGTGGACTCACTTGTTTATCTGTCTCGCTAATAAGGATGCCGAAACAGTTCCAACCAGACCAGAAAAATCCGAATTAAACGACGCAGGGTTGGGGGAGCAAAAGTTGTGTTTTCCAACAAGAATGTGTCATTCATTCACGTAAGGAGTACTTTAGAGAAAGTGGTCCCTAAAATGAAGGATTTGGATGGAAAGTTTGAGATTTTAAAGACAACCAGTGCCCGAAGGTTTCTTTCAGCCATCTCCATTGGACCATACTGTTCCTGTACTCAAGGATGGTCTTGACCATGCAACTGCCTATATTGAAAATAATATTGATGTCATGAGGATGAGGACTTATAGTGCTAGTACCCTTTTAAATCTTTTCACAATTGGCAAGTGGTATTCACAATTTATGAATGTAGATACCACAAATAAAATTTTGAGAGTTTTTCTAAGTAGATATCACAAGCAGATAACAGTGTCCTATGTATCTGGCAGATTTTATTAAATGTTAACAATTACAATTAAATGTCGATTGGTTGTTTAAAATTAGAATTGTAAACATGCAGAAATATGTAGGTGCGGTCGTAAGACGTTTGTGGGAGTGGCGGCGAAATATGAATTTTTTATGTGATTCCACAGTTCCCTGAGTTCCGTAATTTTAACATTTAATAAAATCTGCCAGACACAGAGAACACTGTAATCTGCTTGTTGTATGTACTTGGAAAAACTCTCAAAATTTATTTGTGGTATCTGCACTGATAAATTGTGAATACCACTTGCCAACTGTGAAAAGATTTAAAAGGGTGCTAGCTATACTGTAAGTCCTCATCCTCGTGACATCAATATTATTTTCATTTTAACTCACCCTCGAAACAGATTCCACGCTTAAATTTTTTGTATTGGCCTTATATAGGCAGTTGCATGGTCAAGACCATCCTTGAGTGCAGAAACAGTATAGCTCAATGGAGGAATGAGGATGGCTGAAAGATACCTTCGGGCACTGGTTGTCCTTAAGATCTCAAACCTTCCATCCAAATCCTTTCTTTTAGGACCCATTCTTGTTGGAAAACACAATCTTTTGCTTCTCCAACCCTGCGTCATTTAATTCGGATTTCTCTGGTCTGGTTGGAACTGTTTTTCGGCATCCTTATTAGCGAAACAGATAAACAAGTGAGTCCACAACTCTTCGGGCTTAAACTTGGGATATGGTGCGTACTTGAAACGGTTTGTGCTACCTTTCTGTGCCTGAGTTTGAAAGTACGGAAACAACTTCGTTATCGCTGATAAATTTTGGCTGCTGCTGGTTCCTTGACTTGAATTTGGTTCTGGTGAAGTGGCAGAAGTATTTATATGAACACCTGAAACCGAGTCCCTCACAACAACAGTCGAAGGAGAAGCTTTACTTGTTGGCATTGGCAGATTGCATTTATTTTCCGCACAGGGGGGGGGGGGGTTTGAGAACATCTTTTTACCAGCTAAATTGTAACCCCCTGGAATTCAGTTTATATATCCCCTCCCTGGAATTTCCTAGGAATTCATTGCCAGATACCCCTGGAAAATGGCTTTAATCGCAGACCATCCCCTGGATTTTGGTCTCTAATCACCCCTTCCCCCTGGAATGTGGATTTTCCAAGGCCTTTTTTACACCCCTCCCCTGGCCATTCCATTGTCCTGAACACCCCCCTCCCCTGTGCGGAAAATAAATGTAATCTGCCATTATATCCTGACTGGATCTTGGTGAATTCTGTAAAATTCCGACCGCTTCAGTTATCATGTTAAGCACACGATGAAGCTTATTATCTTTGGTATCAAGACTTGCCATAAGATTATGTTATTTTCGTATAATTTACTCAAAAACACCGTATTTAACAAATCTTTATTATAGTATATAAACACCGTATTTAAAAACATCTAAATAAAATGCTTTCTTTCTTGAAGGTTAGCGGTTGCATAGAAGACGCTTTATAACAATTATATGAAGTACCACAGTGTATTATGATCGACAAGTGTGCAACTCGTGAACGAGTGTGCATGTGTTCAAGTGTGCATGTGATCGTCAAGTGTGCATGTGTGATCAACAAGTGTGCAACGTTGGTACACAGCTATGCACACCTATCAAACAGGTTTGCACACCTATCGAACAAGTTTGCACACCTATTGAACAGGTTTGCACACCTATCGAACAGGTTTGCACACCTATCAAACCCCGACTGCAGAGTTGGGCACTTTTCGCCGAGATCTCGGGTGCAGAAAGCTTGGGTAAAATAGGTGGGGGTGCATAAAATGACTTGCAGGTGCGCAAAATAACATGAAGTAAAAGTGCAAGGGCGGACAGTTGTAGCGAGGTGTGGGCGCACAACGCACATGGTCACATAAAATATGTAAACTTTGTGTGTTATATTTTTCCACTAGCCTTTTCTTACATCTCTGAGTCATGTTTATTGCCTGAAGAGTAGCAATTTTCTTATTTGCAACACCCTAACCCTAACGTATTTTAAAAATTGATATAAAAACGGAAACCTTATTTTGAAGTATAGTATCTAGCAATTGCCATTCAACTTATTGAACGATATATATATTGCGCAACATATATATTGTGCAACCCAGGTGCGCAGAAAATTTCAAGAAAGATAATATCGGGTGCGGCTGTGCCCAACACTGCAGTCTGGTATCAAACAGGTTTGCACACCTATCGAACAGGTTTGCACACCTATCATTATTTTTGATAGGGAAACTGCTTCATAGTCAGCCTGGCATCCTATGTACAGGCCCTAAAACATGAAACAAAGTGTTCGCTGGAATTGGATAGTTTGGAATCACACATACTTTTATTTGAGGAAGCAAATTACTTCCTTTTCGTCAATAAATTAAACTGCGGTATACGTACATGCTCAGCTTCCCAACTTTAGGTTTTTAATAGACTTAATAGTCGACGTTGTGTGTAATTTTTGTATGCAACCCACGTGGAAACGTATTAACATTAAAGGTGGTATTCATTTTATCACTTGTCACAAATTACTAAATAATATAAATGTTAGATAAATAATATAAAAGACTATTTTATTTACCTTTTTCTTTCGCTTGGGCTGGCTGTTCAAAAAGAAACTTGACATAGTATAAAATTATTGTTACTCTCCTATTAAAACTCTTCTATGCTGGTCGCTGGAACATATGATGACGGATTTGGTATTCTATTTTTTACCCTGCCATGTTTGTCAGGCCCTGACACCCTGACACCTCTAATTAGGGCCTGAATTTCAGGTTTATGACCCCAATATCACATGCAATATGGCGTCGATGCAACGCGATAAAAAAAGTTAAAAATTGATCCAAATGCGCTTTGTTCACATGTCAGCGATTCGCTTTATGAAGCAAATTGTTTAAAAAACAAAATTGCTGAAATCTCGTCCATAAATGTGGGAATGACAGCTGACAGTCAGTTGGTTGAAGTCTTTTTGATTTGCCGGTTTGGGCTTTTATATAAAATAGTACGAAGTGACTATATGACCGGCAGCCGGTCACGGTTTATAAAATACTAAATGGCCGGCAGTCTAGTGACTATTGTTAAAGTTTAATTTTTATAAGATAAACCTATCCCCAACCCCAAACCCTTTTCTAACCCTAACCCCTAACCCCTAACCCTAACCTTTTGAGAGTTAGAAAAGTCGGGAAAAAAAGTTTAAAAAATTTTAAGAAAAAACAATGCTAAGTCAGACAAAACACATCGCGACCCCGACTGCGCTTAACTTTCCGCACGCAGCGCCCTTGCCGTATGAGCTAACGGCAAGCTCGGTAAAAGTTAACGCAAACAAAAGTTTTTATATTCAACTATAGTCACTAGACTGCCGGCCATTTAGTATTTGATAAACCGTGACCGGCTGCCGGTCATATAGTCACTTCGAAAATCGTACAGGAGGTGGTCTCTATGCTATCGTCTGCGAGGTTTTTGCCTGAAAGCGTAGTTATTTCGAAGGTCGCTCGCATTCTCGGGATATGTGAACCAGGTGTCAAGAATGTAATTCATTTGTTTGAAAAAGCAGAGAGTTTTAACGGCAGTATTAATACCAGTAAAAACGAAGTATTAAATGTCATCTTAACACCGTAAACTTCAATCTGCTTCGAATGTCAACAGCAGTTTATAGTTGTAAACCATGCCCCAACAGAAGCTCGGATTTACACTCTGAAAGGTTTTGTTAACGGAGAAAAATGGTCCCTTCGCTGTAATGGATGCAAGTCTACATACAATTACAGCAAGTATGGTTCACGCAATGGCTGGAAAATGTACCCAAATCACTATAAAATCAGAGAACTCTAGTCGAATCGTCAGATTGTTGTTTTTTGGAGCGTGACGTTTTCAATTGGATGACATCGTTGAGGTAAGTTCATTATTTATTGCTGCCGAAGGCAGCGTTTATACTCACAGTAGGAAAAACTTCACTAACATCTCATGTATGGCCGGGTCGTGGATTGATTCAAAATTCAGGCGATAAAGTTACAAAACTAGGAGTTGGCTTTTATATGCTCTTCGAATAATTCCGTTTTCATTCGTGTATTACCACAACTTGTTGGTCTCATGGGTGCCAAAATCGACATATACGTAAACCGGTAACCATAAACATGCTACTGCGTGATAGTGATTTCGAAGGAACTTTGTCACATATATTTTAAAAAGTGGGATAAATATAAGTGAATCAAAATTTGTTTTTGCAACCCCAAATAGGTTATCATGACAGCAACAAAAACCCCATCATGACAGCAGCAAAAATTGCACCTGAAATAGCAGCAAAATTGCAAGCGTAAACGGGCCTTAAGCCAAGGTTTACAGTTCAGGTTTTGCAAAGGACAACATTTATTGCATTGGCTCATGTATACATACATACACATGGTTCAGTTCAAATTACAATACAGTTCAGTACAGTACAATACTGTTCAATCTTTATTAGCATATATTAAATGGTGTTGCCATACAAACATAATATTTATATGCTAGACTGTCTAGACAGCATATGTTCAATAAAAATAAACAATAAAAATGTCAATATAGTACAAGTATGCGACTATAAAAATATATAATTGAATTACAGACTAGCATGTACTTTTAAGCTGCTAAATTGCTAATATATTTCTGAGCATATAGTATATGCTATTAGATAAGCAGGTATAAAAGGTTGTTGGTGCCCTGGCTTTGCCTAACAGAAAGGATGTAATCAAATCCTGATTGAGTATAAAGTGGTGTCGGAGGCTGGGGGGGGGGCACTTTTTTAGTTGGGTGGCCATTTTGTCTTTGGAGTTTCGACCCCTTAATTTTTAACAATGGTCAATAATAAACCTCAAAGTTAATTGATTTTATTTCAGTTATGCGTGTAGACAAAACAATTTGAGATATTTTATGACATTTTGTTACCTTTAGAACTCTGTAAATCTCCTTAAATATCCTTCTAAAGTACAGGAAATGGCATTTCAGTGACTCTAGTTTTAATATTTCAGAGACTCTAGTTTTAAAATGTTTATGTTGCCTGCCTTTGGCAGGCGCTAAGCCCCCCCCCCCCACTTTTAGACCTGCTCCGACGCCCCTGTGAGTATATATTGATCAGTATTGGTATTATTTTAAGCTGAAGACTGACCTCATATGCTAATATTTTTATCCAAGTGTAAATAAGTATAGGTTATTTTGAAGCAACAAGGGGATATGTGATTTATTTACCGAGGCATGCAGTGCCTCTGCCATCCAGAAGGGGAGGGGAGAAAAAATTTCTGCCGTCCAGAGGGGGAGGGGAGAAAAAATTGTTTCTGACAATAGTAAATGTATGAGGACATCCGAAGGGGGTAGGATAGGCTCTCAAGCTGAATTGAGAGTCTGCATTGATGACTAATGAATTTGAATATCTGCGTCTCAAATCGTGACGCAAAATTCTTATTGGTCAGATGCTACAATTTATATTATTCCGCTGAGCTCTATATATGTCAACTGCTAGCACTATGCATAAAAAACACATTAACTGATCAAATTGGTCTTGGCCATCTTATCTCAAAGTGTTCTGTTTTGAGAAAACAGTATTTAAAACATTTAAACTTTTGCTTCAATATCTTATATTTCGAAAAACAGTATAAAC